TAGCTGCTTAAGTAGGGTGACCATACGGGCCATTTTTACGAGACGCGTCCTTGCCAGGATTTCTATATTGCCTAAAATATCCAGGTTTTGGCTGTTTGCACTGTGCAGGTCGATCATTGTATAACATTCACAAGAGCTATAGAGAGCAGAGCAGACGGCTCCTTATGCTTTCGAATCACTCTCGCGATACTTTGGTGTCATACAATGTTCGGTGCGCAGCGATGCTTCAAGTCGAACGAACGAACAAACATGTTATTGGTCAAACTACTTTGGATGTTTTAGGCAATATAAAAATCCTGACCAGGACATGCCCCATATAAATGGCACATATGGCCTCCCTATGCCTAAGTCTATTGCAGATGTGGATATTCATACACGCATATAACTACGGTTGCAGACACACAGGCAACTTGCTCTTGAGTGTTCACTTTGACCATTCCAATATGGCGGACGGCTTACGTATAAAGTGCACACACACAGCAGTGAACACACACACACCGTGAACACACACCCGGAGCAGTGGGCAGCCATTTTTTTATGGCTCCAATATAATGGTGGACAGCTAAGGTATAACCAAAGCCACTGGAGGGCAAGCCTGCAACCTTTAGCCAAAAAAACGTAACAGCTAGTGCTAACGCTGCGGCTTTGACAGTATGCAGGGAAGGAGACCAGAGGCGATTGTATGATGAGCCCCATGTGATCCAAGTTAGCCGTTACACTTTTTCCAATGGTAAGTACAACAGACCCTTGCATCTCCCAATAATAAGACATTCCATGTATTCCATGGAAGAAAATCAGTCATACAGGTTTGGAACGACATGAGTGTGAGTAAATGATGACAGAATCATGATAAGTTTTGTATTAAGACATTCATATTCTTCATAATTTCAATCAGTTACAAGCCAAAGAAAGAGCCGTATCATAAATTATTTCATTATACTTCCTTTTTTCCCCAGACAATAAAGTGACATTATATGAAAGCCACGACCGTCGTTAGTGACAGTGCTGTTGGCGGCTGTTCTTGAATCCGAGACTGAATTACGAGTTACCTGGCAAGTTTCCTGACAGACGGGAGAAAATTGTGAGTGCGTTATCAGCCACACAAAACCAGAGCCGTGATTCATAGACTGCCAATTCATATCAGTGCAATTATAGATGAAGCAAATTGCAGAATGCCATTTTATCAAATTGAATTTCAAACTGAATAAAACCTTAAATAATTAGTTAATAAGTATGAGGAGTATAAGACATTTCTGAAAAGAAACACTATCGAAACTGTAATGCAAACAAAAATTACAGCAACACTATAATAATATCTCCCATTTGCTCTCATATCTGGTATTCTCAGAGTTTAGAAAAAGCCTCAACTAGCGCTGTCACAATACTTGATTTTCACTACATGATTACTGTGGCCAAAGTAATTTTTTTCCATTTTAGGATGGGTGGCAACAGCTAGTTCACAGAATGTGTTTTTGCATTTAAGAACGTGAGTTTCAGGACAGTGGAACAGAAAAAAAAACAGGTTTTAAAAGTTCAACTTATTTTAACTGGAAGGGCTTGTTTTTTTATTTCCATCTAGCGTGTTTGCATAGAAAAAAAATGAAAAAGCAGTGCATTGGAAAGTAAAAATGCAATACCGCCACCTACTGTGTTGGAGTGTCAATGCTGGATTATTTGCAATGTTATATTAAGTGTTTAGTATTAACATGATAGTGATATTTAATTTTTTTAATATAGTTATCATCAATACAGGCATATTGTGAAACCTGTGATCTCATCAAAATTATCTGAGCTTTGTAATGTGCATTCATTTTATAGCTCTATACTCTCACAGCATGTCAACAATTGCCTCACAGAGTTACAAGAAACATCTGAGCAGATACTGAGTAGGCCTACAAAAAATTTGAACGGTTTCATGAGCTATAAAAGAGCAACTCTGAGCAATAAAATGTTCCTCCGAGTTGTTTTGACCAACATATCATCATGGATACATTAGGTGAAGGTCTGTAAACAGAAATTTGTGGCACTGAAATCAAGCTTGTGTAGCTAGACAAGAATGTTTTGGCCCTTTACGAATGTTTTGGAAAGTTAAGTGAAACACGTAAATGAAAGATGTTTTAAAATTGTTTTGAAAATTATTTTGAATTATTTTCGAAATTGTGTACTGTAGCTTTAAATGCGAGTTAAAAGTGAAACTGCAAGTAATTTAAAGATGATTTTTCAAAAACTTTTTATAAATTTATTTAAATTTTCTTTTGTTTTTATTTATTTATTTATTTTTTGTACAATCAGCTTTGATGCCACTAATAGAGAAGAAATTGTGTAAGCCTACTGTTGCTTTACCGTAGCGTTAAACGTATTAAACGGAGTAAATTAAAGATATTTCAGTTTCTTTCCCACTCCATTTGAGCAACCTGCCAGCGACGTGCATGCTTCTTTTTTATGTTTGTTGAAAATTGTTTTGAAAATGATTTTTGCAATTACCTTTGGTGCCGTTACTGGAGCAGAAATTGTGTACCGTAGCTTTAAATGCGAGTTAAACCTGAAAGTAAATGAATGTATTGCAGCCCTACTGCTGTTTGCTTTATAATTTGATTTGTTTGGTTTGGAAATATCAGTTAGTTTTCCATCACAGGGCAGCAACAAGTTTCAAAATCTCTTAAAACAGGAGCAATTCATTAGTGTTTTCTCTCTTTTCTCTCTCTTATTTTCACTCACACGGCAGCACTCAAACGTTTAGCTTACTAAGGAGTAATCGTTTTCAAATGTGTCTTATCCTTTCTGCCTTCCTGGTTTTCCCCTTCTCCTCCTTCTCTTCATCTCCTTCTTGTGTGTTTATTTCTCTGCCCTCATCTTTTCGTCATCTTACTGTCTCCCGCTGCGTCTTTATACCGTCTCTCTCACTCTGTCAGTTCTTCTGCTCTTCATCTTCGCTATCGGCCTTTATCTTCCCCTCTTCTTTCTTCTTTTTTTACTGCTGCGTTTCAATCACCGCTCTCTCTCACTCACTCACTCACTCTCATCATTCGTCTTTGCCGCTGATCTCTCCTTATGTTCTCTCTCTCTCTGGCGCGAGGGCAATCTGTGACAGTAATGTTTGGAGGCGAGCAGAGAGTTGGGGCGGGGGTGTTACTGCAAAAGCAGCGCATTAGCCCCCTCGTTTGTTCCATCTTTCCATCCTCAGCTGCCCCAGGGTCTGGATTACACACAGCGGTCACACAGTGACCATGTAGATGGGCGCTTATTAAAGGCTAGATCATGATGGCACATCAGGACACACACACACACACACACACAAATACTGCCATCCACAATCAGGATTTAAGATTTAATAGTTAATGACATTGAGGCGGATTCGAACCTCTGTCTTCCAAATCAGCGGCATAGTTTACCATATAGTTGAAAGTTGCATGTATAGTTTAGCACATAATTGAGCTTATAGGACAATTTTTTAAATATTTTTTGTTTAATTGGATAGCTGATAGTGACAAGAAAAGTATTCCATTTGTCCATACAACATCTGTCTATTTATCTGTCCGTCCATCCATCCATCCATACAAAATCTATCTATGAGCCATATCTTTGTTGTTTATACTATTAATATCATCAATTAATATTTATATTATTCATAAATATAATTGAATATTATTATTAATTAAAAAGGACTTTACATTAATATTAATTAAAATACATACAAATATTTATAAATAATTAAATCAAAACAAACAAATAAAATTTTTTATTTAATGGATTTTGGCTGGGATTAATTTTTTAGCCACAGCCTTGTTGTTTATATTATTTATATGATTAATTCATATGCATTTATATTATTAATAAATATTGTTAAATATTATTAGTAGTAGTATTAATTAAATTAAAATTAATTAGAAATAAATATATAAAATATATACGAATGAAAGAATGAATGAATAAATAAATAAATGCATTTATTTTCGCTTTATTGATCATTTTTAAGGCGCGATGAAATGGGATCAGGGTGTGTTCGTGTTGCAAGCCATATTCGAACCTGAATCTCTCATATGGACACTATATATTAGGTTTGACATTTTTTGTTTGTTTAAATGTCTTTGTAAGATTCTTGTTTTATTGAATAGATACCAGAACGATTTTATGTAAAGACGATGATGAATAATTGTGATGATGATGAATGATGAGATTTCGACATGTCGAAGGCCAGATTTGAATCTGCTTCCTCTGAATCTGTATCATGTCTCGACATATTAATACAAGGCCACAACCTCAACGTGTTTTTAAAATAACCATGGGGGTGTTTTGCTTTATTGGATGGATAGTGGAGGAAGAGATGTTAAGACCTTCAGCATTGCTCAAAATATCAGGAGTGTGTGTGCCAACCACTGAACCACGGCACCGAACAAAGCTTTTAACACTTGAATATCATCCAATTCACTGTCTCTGTTGTTTTTGTTAGCTAGGAGGCTAACACACCATCGCAAATGAGCTCTGAAAACTATTTCATGCCCATCAACAAATAAATCATTCACAAAAAAGAGACGAGAAGAACACGCAGTCCTGTCTAGTCGTCAAAGAGCATAGACAGAGAAATGTGGTAAACTATAAATGCATGAAAATAAAGGGGAAGGCTGTTGAAACAAGTCTTAGCGTACATGGCAGGTCTAGCAGGCTAAATATAGTCTTCTGGGTTATCTGATTTCTGCAAGCACTGAATCCTTGTTCCCTCTCATTATTTACATGTCTGTGCTTGTGATATTTGTTTCTCTGTTTCTACCTCTTTTCTCTCATCATTTCATCCTCCTCTCGCATATCGCCCTTCCTTCTCCCTCTCACTTTTTCATCTCACTCATCCCCTATCGTAATCCCGCTGATGTATCCTCAGGTTAACCAAACAGCCTGTAACATGAAATCAAACGCAATCTCTCCTTTTAAACACAGACGGGCTTTTATGCAGTATTTACTGGAGCGTATGGCAGATCTGACAATATGAGGGTTGAAAAGCTCACCATGATATAGTGGCGCTGCATCTCTGTCTTCTCGCTGGCCAGCTTCTCACACTCTATTTTGAGACTGTGAAAACACGGCAGAAAAATATGAATGAAAAACACAGTAGAAAAATATGAATTGTACAAAAGATGCGAATGACTTGTCAGTGTATCAGAAACCGAGTCTGAAAAGTCTGATTCCCTTAAAGTAATAAAAATTGAATCAGTTAAATTAAATGAATCAGAACAAACAGATTTACTGAATCAAAACAACTTGATTTACTTACATGAATCGGAATGATCAAACTCACTTAAATGAATCGGAACAAACTGATACACTTCAGTGAATGAGAATGAATAAATTAAATGTAATGAATCAGAATAAATTAATTCACTTAAAGAAATCAAAACAATCTGATTTACTTAAAAGAATCAAAATGATCGAACTCGCTTAGAGGAATCAGAATAACCAGTTAATTTAAATTAATCATAACAAACCTATACACTTCAGTAAATAAGAATAGATCAATTAAATTAAATAAATCAGAACAAACTAGTTTACTTACAATAATCAAAACAAACTGATTGACTTAAATTAGGGCTGGACAATATGGCCAAAATTGATATCACGATATATTTCTTAATTTCGGTCGATACGATATAATTCCGATATCGATATGAACACTATTTATCTGAAATAGAAATCTTTTGTAACATTATAAATGCCTTTATCATCACTTTTGATCAATTTTAAGCATCCTTGCTAAATAAAAGTATTAATTTCTATAATTTCCCAAAAAAATAATAAAAATTATACTGAATGGAATAGTGTATAATGTTACAAAAGCTTTTTATTTCAGATAAATGCTGATCTTTGGATCTTTCTATTCATCAAAGAATCCTGAAAAAAAATGTACTCAACTGTTTTAAATATTGATAATCAGCAAATCAGCATATTAGAATGATTAGAAGGATCATGTGATATTGAATTATTGTCCAGCCCTAACTTAAATGAATCAGAATAATCTAGTTCACTTAAAACAAACCAATAATTCAAATTAATAAGAATTAATCAATTAATTTAAATGAATCAGAGCAAACCAATTCACTTACAAGAATCAATCCAAACTGATTCACTTGAAAGATGGTCCAATTCACAGGGGTCATATGATGTTGCTAAAAAGAACATTATTTTGTGTATTTGGTGTAATGAAATGTGTTTATGCGGTTT